CTTTTCTTGAGTTCTTATAATAGTGGTCTTATACAATATTTATCCTTCTGTGACTGACTAAATTCACTCAGCATAATGCCCTCCAGATTCCTCCATGTTCTAAGATGTTTCACGGCTTCATCGTTGTTCTTTATCGTTGCGTAGTCAGTGGTTGTAATCTTAACGGAAGCAGATCACCAGGCCTTTCTTCCACAGTGCCGGTGGGTGGATTCAAACTGCCAACCTTAGTAGCCAAGAGCAAACCATTTGCCCTACTCAGGGACCTAAAACCAAACCCACTGCCGTCGAGTTGATCTGATTCATGGCAACCCCAACCACTTGTTTATTCAGTGCTAACTAAAGTCATTTAATCTGCCACAGAAATGGTTAAGCAGATATTACTAACCCCATTCTACAGACGAGAAAACTGAGGCCAAGAGCCATTAAGTGCTGTGCCCAAGTTACACACACAACTTCTAACCACCACGCCACACCTCGCCTTGATGTCGTCTCCACCATCCATGCACTCCACCCCAACATGTGAAGGCCTGCCTGGTGGTGACCCAGCAATGACAAGGATGCATTCCTGCCCCCAGTAGCTCCCAGTCCATACAAGTGAGAGAAGTGCTGGGACTCAGGATCCTGTGTCTGACCTCAGCAGCCCCCTCCCTCGGTGTCTACCAGAGGGTTTCACACACGCAGCAGACCTTTCTGGGGTGCGGGAGACCTGTGAGGGCTGCTCCTGAGGAGCTGACCTTCGTTTCACTCCGGCTCACCCCAAACACTCAGGAATGTGCCTGCTGCTCCACGCTACTCATCTGCACCTGCTAAGTGGCCACAGCTGGGCAGGAGAGAAACCTCCCAGGAGAATGACGGGTGTGTTTCACAGCTGGCAGAATCCCCACTCCATGACTGTGTGTCCCCTTGGGAATTTGGGGCGGGTGGGTGGGTCCTGGGAGCAGGCACTATTACATGGTGTTTATCTCACTGTCTTCCTGGATGCTTGCACCCCTGCCATTAATGACATTTGCCTCCTGTGTGCTGATGATGCCTGTCACCTTCCTCCCACAGAGACTGGCTACTGGGCTGGGAGGTGGCTTCTCTCTTGGCTCCAGACCTGGGAAGGCCTGAGGCAGCCTAAAGCCTGGGGCAGCTTTGCAGAGGACAATGTCAGCCCTGCAGCATTTGCTCCAGGTGGGGCCTTCCACAGATCATTTGCTTCAGCAGTTCATTCCCCCGCCATGCTCGGCTTCCCCAGGAAGTTGGACGTCGTTCCAGGTAAAATGCAATTGGGAGGGGTACCGGGGCAAGGGCCAGGACTCCCAGCTCCAGGCGACCTCCAGGACTCACTACGTGCCCCTGGGAAGTCCCTTCTCCTCAATGGGCTTCAGTTTCTCCATCTGTAAAATTAGGAGGTACTATTGCAGTGCTTATCACAGATCACCTGGGGGTCTTGTCAAAATGGGGATTCTGTTTCAACAGATCTAGGATGGGGCCAGGAGTCTGCATTTCTAGCAAGCTTCTGGGTGATGCTGGTCTTGCTGGCCCATGCACACACGTGGAGTAGAGGACTCTAATCCACCTACCCTGATCCAAGCCAGCATCACCTCTGGGATGGATGACTATGAAACTTCTCACAGGTCTCCCCTCAGCCCCATTCTCCCCACACAGCCTAAAGGAACTCTTCTAGACACGAATCTAATCAAGTCCTACTAGCACTCCACAGACAATGGCTACCACTTGTTTCAGGATAAAGACACAAATCTTAAAATGGTCCATAAGACCCCACCTGGTCTGGCCCCAACCACCTCTCCAGCCTCATCACCCACCAAACTCCCCTTGCTCTCTAGGCTCCAGCCACACTGGCCTTCCTTCTAGCCTTCAGCGCACCCCAGGGCCTTTGCATTCACTGATTCCTTTGCCTGGAACACTCTTTCCAAGCTTCTCACATGGCTGGCCTCACCAATCAGCCTCCACTCAAAGGCCGTCCCAACAGAGCAGCCCCTGTGCCACCTCTTCTAACCCACTTCCCAGCCCCACAGTCACCATCTAGTTTTTTCTTCATAGCCCTTAACCTGTCTGATCTTTCGCGTATTTGCTCCATGACTCAAGCCGTTCTCCCTCACAAGAATGCAAAACATGGGGTCAAGGATCTCTCCTATATTGTTCCTAGAGCTGGGCACTCAGTAGGAGCTTAATAAATATCTTTGAATTAAATAATCAATTCACCAAGGACACTGTGGCTGGGAAGAGGAATTCTGGTACAGGCCACCAGTGCCTCTGTGGATCCCCACGAACGCCCAGACCTCTGCCCCACGCATGTGCACGCACGCATGCGTGCACCCACGTGCATGCACACAACACACACTCTCCAGCCAGCTGGAATGCCTACTTGGGAAGGGAAAGGAGGCAGCCCAGTCCTAGAAGGAAGTAGGCAGGGCGGCTTCACTTCCTCACTTTTCCGATGTTCTTCCACTCTTGGCCTTAAGAAGGCGCCAGCTGCGATAGGGTCATGCAGGCAACACAGCCAAAGGCTTCAGACCACCACAGTGGGTGGCACAGGCCTTCAGGGAAAGGAACACAGGGTGGGCTCCCACAGACCTGGCTCTGTCCTTTACCAAACTCATTGCCAGTTCTGACTCATGGCAACCCCATGTGCTACAGAGTAGAATTCCTTCATACGGCTTTCTTGGCTGTAATCTTTATGGAAGCAGTTTGCCAGGCCTTTCTGCTGGGTGCGTTTGAACTACTAACCTTTAGGTTAGGAGCTGAGAGCAAAATGTTTGTGCCACCCAGGGACCTTTACCACCTGTTGCCATCAAGTCGATTCCGACTGATAGCCACCCTACAGGACAGAGTAGAACTGCCCCACAGGGTTTCCAAGGCTGTAATCCTTACGGAAGCAGACTGTTGCATCTTTCTCCCATGGAGCGGCTCGTGGGTTTGAACTGCCGACCTTTCAGTTAGCAGCCAAGTGCTTAACCACTAGTTGCCTAAAAGTCCCTTTAGCAGAAGGCAGTCTTTTACTCGCCATTTAAACGATAAAGCTCAAAAGGCAGTAAGCCTAGGAGAGGGAACACATGAAAACACTGACTTAAGTTCACACACACACACACACACACACACACACACAAGACTAAATCCAGCCAAGCAGAGACCTCAGCTCTGATGGTACTGGGTGGTCTCTGAAACGGGAAAACAGAGGGGAAAAAGGGGACACAGGAGGGCAGGTCTTGGCTAAGACAAACAAGACAGCGAGCCACCTCCCTGCTACACAGCTCTGCTCAGTGAACCCGACAGTTCCACCTGTGGCCAGGAGGTGGCACTGTGGCTGCAAAGCAAGGGAACTACGAAGCCCTCAAGAAGAAAGCTGAGTTGAGTGGGGATGGAGCAGAGTTGCTGGGACACCTTGGCCTCCCCTGCCCCTTTGCTCTGGAGTTAGTCAATGTTGAGATTTTTCTGGCTCAGCTGAAATCTGTTCCTGTCTGCTTCTCCCATCTCTTCATCAGAGATCTCCCTGGAAAGGGCAGCCGAAGCACCAGTTCCAGACCTATGGCCCTAGAAGCCTCCATGTTTCTCTAGAATGAAGACTATAGGAGGTTTGGGGGGTAAAGCACTGGAAGGGTGGGTGTTAGGAGCCCAGGGATCTAGTCAAAGCTTTAATACCTACCAACTGTGTGCCCTCGATAAACAAATTATCCAAGCCTCAGTTTCCTCATTCATTCCTCACTCGTCAAATATTTATTGAGCACTTCTATAGATGCTGGAGCCCTGGTGGCACAAGTAGTTAAGCGCCTGGCTGCTACCCAAAAGGTCTGTGGTTCGAATCCACCATCTGCTCCTTGGAAACCCTATGGGGCAGTTCTACTCTGCCCTATAGGGTCGCTATGAGTCGGAACTGACTCGACAGCAGTGGGTTTGTTTGTTTTGGTATGGATATTAAAGGAGTCACTTGGTAGCACAAATGGTTAAGTGCTTAACTACTAGCCAAAAGGCTGTTGGTTCGAACCTGGCAACGTGCTTGCGAAAGGTCACAGCCTTGAAATCCCTATGGAGCACAGTTCTACTCTGCACATACAGGGGGACGCCATAAGTCAGAAATCAACTCACGGCAACTAACAGCTAACAGATATTGAGCCAGGCACTGTTAGGTACTTGGAATACAGCAGTAAATAAACTCCCTGCCCTCATGGAGCTAACATCTGTAAAAGAGAACTAATGCTAGTTGTTCTAGAAGCTCAAAGAACTAACCAAAGAAAGTGAAAATGCTTTGAAAACTGTAAAACATCCCACTGAGGCAATGTCTTTTTCCCTCTACCAACTACAATGCTCAGGGCCACGGGTTGGCAGAGGGCAAACCCCTGAGCAAGACCGCTGATGGCCAGGTGAGCCCCCTAGTGTGTGTCTCCTGCCTGTTGTCCCTGGGCCTTGCTGCTGCCTGCCCAGCTCAGCTTGGCTGAAAAAAGAGGGAGCAGGGAAGGGCCATCTCTTAGAAATGGCCACAGCCCCCAGCACTCACCATTCAACTCACAGCCAAGCAGCTCGAAGCGGACAGTGCAGCCCCGGTGGCAGATCACAGGGACCAGTCTCACATACTGTGCCTCCAAAGGGGAGTCAAACAAGTTGGTCTTCAAGCCATTGTTGTCCACGTTACCCACAAACACCTAGGAGGGCAGGGCAGATTACAGGAACCAGTCAGTGTGGGCAGTCCCACTTCTTGAGGTTGCCTTGCCTTCCGCTTCAGTTCGGGGGTAAATAGATGAGGTTGGGAGAGACTTAGCAAAGCTAGCAGGAGCTTGGATATTAGCCCTTCCTTCAGCCCCCAACACAGATTCCCCTTCTTATACCCTTCTTGGTCATCATGGGGTCCTAGGCATAAGGCCCTGTCTTTCACACAGAGCTACCTCTAACCTATAGGGTGCCTCTATGCAAATTAGAAAAAGGCATTCTTTGCTCAAGATACTTTATTTATGATGACCATTTTCTGACAGATTTAAGTATATAAGCATGCGATGTCTACATTGTAAACGGTGCCTACTTGGTAATGGCATCCTTGAGCAGTGTACAGCCTACACGACTGTACATGGCGGCCCTGGAAGCTCAGAATGCATCCCAGCTCTACCACCGCCCTTAACAGGCCATTTCACCTTTTTGAGTCTCACTATTCTTCTCTCTCAACCATAGCACATGGGCACAATCTGGGTTTCCTAACTTCCGATTACCAAGGCACACCTGAAGGCCCACCTCAAGGCAAACTGCCCAGGGTACCCTCCTCTCATTGGGGGCCCTCAGACAGCATTAGATCCCCAGGGGGTGCTAACCACAGCCCTTCTTTAGGGCCCCAACAAGCCCCACCTTGTCTCGAAGCCCCTCTGCATCCTGGATAAACTGGAACTTGCGCCCATCATCGCTATAGGCCACCTTGAAGGTCTTCAGGTACTCCGCACTGCCCACACGGCTGGCACCCTGCGTCACCACGCCTGTCACTCGCATCTTCCGCAGCAGGTTCACCTGCACAGGGGGCACAGCGGGCAGTACCCTCATCTCCCAGGTTCTTTCTGTCTGAGGTCCAGGCCAACCCACTCCTATCACTCCCCCAACTCAGAGCAACACAAGCAGGACAAAGGAGGGGTGGCTGTGCTCTCCCAGGGAGCGAGCAGGGCTCTGAGCCCAGTGCTCATGGAGGCACACAAGGAAGGGCAAGGCCCCACTCCAGGGCAGAGAGCCTCTGCCACCACAGACTAGGATCTGCTCCCCTACCTCCAGGTCCCCCAAGGCTGCCTTCCACTTACTGACACGTACACCCCCTCCCTTCACCTGGGGGCACCTGCTACCTTGCTACCTGGACCCCAGTTATGAACCCTCCCTTGGTGGGCCCCCAATGCAGGCCCGCTCATCCCACCTTCTCCCCTCCATGGCCAAGCCCTTCACCACCCAGCCCCAGGGCCATCCCTCACAGGCCCTGGTAGTCACTTGTCCACACCTGGATCCAGGGGTTCTTGTCATAGTTACTGGCCGTCCAGGCATTGACGATGCCCGTGCGGTGCAAGCGGGCCAGCTCTGGGGCCCAGCGCTGCAGACCCATGAAGCCAAAGTACACCGAGGAGGCAGAGATCTGTGAGTCAGCAATGGCACCATGCTCCATGCCCAGCGGCACGGTGCAGCCTGAAGGAGGAAGACGACAGTTAGGCGGCCACTGGCAGGTGCCAGGGCCAGCGGGGACCCAGAGGACAAGAAAGTAAGGCAGTGTGGCCTCTCTTGGACCCAGAGCCAGAGAGAACCTCAGACCCTACACCGAGAGCAGGGACCACAAAGGGACAATGAGGATAATGCACAAAAGGGGGACAGGTGAGGGGGCACAACAAGGCTGGGCTGGGGATGAGACAGAGAGAGAGGTTAAGCACAGAGGCACGGAGGGGTGGGACCCAGGGCTGCTGGGAGGAGGTGGGCCAGGCCGGCCTACATGGGACTGCCAGGACTGGCCAGTGGAGTCTCATTCCTACAGGACACCGGCAGCATTATTCTGGCATAGGGGGGTGGGCTGGTGGGAGAGAATACCAGTGTGAGCTCCTCTTCCTCGCCTCCCCCTACTACCAGCCCCGCCCTGGCTTCCACATGAGCAGGGGGCTGCAGGAGAAGGGGCGTCTCAGACAGCAGTGAACAGTATGTGAACTGTACATAAAGCAATAAGAAAATCTGCCTAGTGTTCTCTAGAATCCGCGGGCAGGAGTTTTCCGGTGGGGCATGAATATCATTCTGTTCTCCCTGGTACCCTCTGCTCTTCTACCTGCTAGTCCTGGCCCAGCCGTCAGTGACTGTCACCCTCACCACTACCCCAGTGATGTGGTACCAGGTTGGGGGAAAGGGTTTCAGGCCAGCTACCAGGCCTGCCAAAGGGCCGAGCCTCCTCTCTCGTCTCCCAGGGATCCCTTCCAGGCAGAGAGCCAGGGGCAGACGGCTCTTGCTGAGCACCTCCCATAGCCCAGGCTCATGCAGAGGGTGAGACACAAAGAGGTAAAGCCAGATGCGCAGGAGCAGAGCCACTTGGGGCTGAGCAGAGAGCTGAGCCCAGTCTGCCTCCAAGATCGTCCTCACACCCTGGGCCTACACAGAGGGGGCCCAATGTGCAGTCTTTGGACCTGTGGGATCCTTGTTGGCTCCAGGGAGCACTCCACACATCCAAGGTGGTCCCTCTGGGGGACCCCCTGCCTGTGTGGTCACTCCCTACCTTCTGACCAGGTGCCGCCATACCCAGCCTGGGCAGACCCCGGGCCGAGGAGCCTGAAGAGGGCTTAGTGAGTAATTCCAGCTCAGGTACACCCATGGTTACCTCGGCTCCCAGCACAGTAATTAGTCTGCCCACCTGGCCCCACCCTAGGCTCTGTCTGCTGTAGCAAGCCCCCTACCGCTCCCACATACACCCACCCACCCAGGATCTCAAACACATCTGGCCTCAGCCTGGAGCCCAAGGCACGGGCCCTCGGCGCTGCCTCCTCTGAGGGCAACGGCATCCCAGGCGCCTTACCTGCTCTCCCCCAGGGTCCCGGCTCCCACCCAGCCAGCCCCAGCCAGCCCTCCTCCTCCTGTAGCTCAGCAAACCAGAGTCCGTCCCCACATTTGCCTGGAGGAGGGCTGCCTGGCCCCCGGTCTGACATGCCTAGGGCCTGACCCACTGGACTTCGGGAACCTGGGACCCCATCCCCGACTCCACCCATCCCTGGGCCCAGATGTGGACCCACCCACCCCAGAGCAGGCTGGGAAGAGTCCTGTTTGGATGGGAGCACAGGGTGGGAGGGGCTCCAGTGAGGCCGGGACAGAGGACTGCATGGAGAGCCACTGCTGGCCATGTCGGCTGGGGACCCACCCAGGGCAATTTTGTGGCCAAGTGTATAGTGAAGCAGGGTCAGCCCCTCTGCACACACTGGGCCTCTGACAGGCCAGCCACCGCCCAGGCCGCTCCCTCCTCCCCCAGCTCCGTGAGGAGGCCACAGTTCAGATCTGGGCCAGGAAGTGTCAGATCCCAAGGACTAGCCTGATTTACTGACCTCCTGGGCTCTGAAGGATTAACAGTGTGTTTATTTTCCCCTCTTGCTAGAAAAATCCAAAAACTTCCAGAGCTCTGTGTCTAGCTCAGGCTGCCCCAGGAAACAGCATTCCCATGGCCTCTGGGGGTCACCACACTCCCTCCTCCCCTGGAGCAACATGAGGCTTAGCCTGCAGTCCCAGGAGAGAGGTCCAGGCGGAGAGACACTGGGGAGGGACAACAGGATCCCGTGTCCTCCCTTGGCCTCACTGAGGCTCTGCCCCATCCTCACCCAGAGGAGACCTCAACACAGGAGGTAAGGCCAGCACATGGCCTGTGCCACCAGGACTGGGGCTCAGGGTCTGCCCCTACAAGCAGACACCCCGATACTCACTGGTCTCACAGTGGATGCCTGCATAGCCCTGAGGGCACTTGCAGATGTACTGGGTGAAGACGTCCCCTCGGCGCGAGTCGTTGGTCACCTGGCATTCGGCATTGTGTTGGCAGGGGTTTGGCAAACAGGGACCTGGGGAGGCAGGTAAAATGGACAGGTGGTCAGGCAGGTGCTGGGGACAGAGATGGGGGCAGCAGATGTGTCTAGTCCAAAAGGACACACCACCAGAACTCAGTCTACTGTCCACATCTCCCCCCACCCCAATCTGCCTGATGGACCCCAGCAAAGGATGGTCACATGTAGGCGAATCAGTCTAATAAGGGAAGCACCTAGCTTCCCAAGTGGCCTGGGAGTTTTTCCAGGGTAAATGCTGGCCAACAAGAGAGGGTGTTGAGGACCACTGCCCACTTCAGGAAGAGCCCAGTAGCCAAAGGCCCCTACAACTTCGAACCCGGGCTGTGGTGCGGCAGGCACAGCCCAGGGCAGGTACCTGTCTCAGTCTCATTGCACGTGGGGCCCGTAAAGCCTTCGGAGCAGAGGCAGTAGAATGTGCCATTGTCCAGGCCCGTCAGGCAGATCCCATCATTCAGGCACACGTTAAAGTCACAGAAGTCACCTGCAATGGCAGCTCTGACTCAGGGGCAGCAAGTCATTCATTTGATAAACTTTTCAGGGGGCCAATTACCATGTATGTGCTGGGCCCTGAGACAGAAATCGGGCATAGTCCAGGTCTCAAGAAGCTATCGGGAAAGAAGTGAGTAGGTCAACACATCATGAAGAGGCGTCACATGCCTTAGCAGAAGCAGCCTGCACAAGGGGCAACTGTAAGTATGATTTCTGCCAAGGAGATGAAGTTCTTGCAGAGGAGAGGACATGTGAGCTGGGTCTAGAAGACAAAGTGTGAGTATGCCAGGCTGGGGAGCAAGAAGAGAACATTTTGAAGACTAGTAGAAGTATGGAACAGCATGGTGTGGTAGAGAACAGTAAGACACAGCTAGAAAGGTGGGCTGGAGACAGACTAACAGAGACCTTATGAATGACACATTTAGACTTTTCATCCTACAAACCGGTGGTTCTTAACCTTCCTTCAGCCTCGCCACCATTGTCCACCAAGAAAAAAAATCACAGAGATTTTCAAGTGTGAGGTGAGAGTAGCGAAGCCACTTTCAATTCTAGCAAGGAGAATGTCGGAAAAAAGCCCATCTGCAGAGATGCTGAGGGGCTCCTCTGTGGTCGGGAGGCGTCCTGTAGCTGCAGCAAGATCCCTCTGTGCTGGGTGCAATCAGATTGGAGGGGGTGAGGTGGGAGGCCCGGAGAACGTCAAGGAAGCTGTCGCAGGCATCTGGTGAGAGAGGAGGGCCGGACTGGAGAGACACATGCAGGAAGGACTACAGAGGAGGAAGGAGGGTTGGAGGACACCGAGGCTTCTGCTTGGGGGCCGGAGTGACAGATGTGCTCTACTAGCCACAGTGGGAAACACAGAGGGAAGAGCAGGAGCACACTGGCGGTAAGTTACGCATTTGGGTTTTAGATCCGAATGATGGTATGTAGGGTGGCCAAGGGGGCCCCAACCCCACACTCAAAAATGAGTCCCTTAAAGGCTGTGCTTGAGGCCCACCTCACTCCAGCCTGTCCCCAGTGAACTGCAGCCCACTGTGTCTGCCAGGCTAAGGAGGATCCTCTAGCTGATCTTAGCACCCCAGAAAGGCTATCCCAGGCCCCAAGCCCAAATCAGTCATTTGGGGCAAGACATGAGCAATCTTTTCTCCTCACCCCCAGAGTCCCCCCCATTCCAGGCTGGAGGGCCCTCCTGAAATCCCAAAGCCCCAGAGAGCTCAGGGCACAGCTCCAGGGAAGAGAGCACCATTAATGAGGCATCAGAGCTCCACCTCAGCCAGGGCCTCAGGAGCTTAAGGCCGCTCCCAATGAGCTATTAGTCATTGGCTTTAAATAGCAGGTTAAATCCCTCCCCTGACCTGGGAGGCGGTGACACTGCCACAGACAGAGGCTTGAGAATGGTTAGAGTCCTGGACTCCTGTCCTAACATGGTCCAACTCCTCTTCCTCTCCCTCCCAGGCTCACATTCCACCCCCCACCATACCCCCAGCAGTGCAGCAGGAAAAACGGAAAGTGAAAGGTGTCTGGGACCTGGCCAGGCCTTATACTGACAAGGGCCAGGCCACCTGTGCAGGGCACATGAGGTGCTTCCCCTTTCCAGAAAAGCCAGATCACCCTCTGCAAAACCTCCTTTGGGGTTTCAGGGTCCTGCTCTTTGAGAAGAGTTCCCCAGGGACATTTTACCAGGGCTCAAGCCGTGGAGACGGAGTACAGGAGTGGAAGGGGACTTTGAGGACTGAGCTGTCTTTCAGGGTTGCTGGGGAGGGCCAGAAGCTCCCAAGTCTGTGGGAGTTTGGACTGGCCTTAAGGCCTGAGCTCCAGACCTGGGGGCCACACTGGCTACGGGATGCAGAGCCAGGACCCAGCTGTGAGCCCCTCACCTCAGCCAATCCTGTTTCTGTGAGAAAACAATGGAGGGGGTGCCTGAAGAGTTCTTGCCCTCACCAGGCAAAGGGCACCCCTTTCTCAGCCCTGGCGGGGATGATGGGGCATTACATTGAAGGCGGTGGGGCAGTAGGTGGGCCCTCCAGCCAAGGCAGCCCCACGAGCAGGCTACAGGAGGCCCAGCTGTGGCCGAGGGCGGGGGAGGACCAGGGAAGATAAAGCTCTGGCCAAGGCCTCAGGAGGGAGTCAGGAGACTCCCCAGCAGGAGGGAGCCCTTTTCCAAGCGCCTTCCCGGCTGTTAGCCCCTCCAGAGTCCCACCTAGAGCCCACGCTCACTCTGCCCCATTCCACAGGCTCCCCAGCCCCTCCCTAACTGACCAGACACCTCCAAGTGGGCCCAAAAAAAAACAGTGAACCGTCCAGCGGAGAAGGGGCTGAGAGGGGGTTGCTGGCAAAGTTGGCTGGAGAAGACTTAGCAATACAAGAGTCCTGGAATCTTCCAGGTAGAAGGGGTTGTGAGTCAGGCACAGTTCAGTGGCCTTTTACAGATGGGAAAAGAGAGGCCCAGCACAGCGGATTCCTTTGTTGTGTGTAAGCCACATCCGTGAGGGCGGCAGAGCTGTCACCCATTGTCCCGGGTCCTCGCGCCTCCATCACTGCTCAAAACACACTGGCGCAGACACAGGAGAGGCGGCGCCCGTCCCTCCCTCCGCACAGCCCCCAGCGCTTTGCAGAAGTTTGCAAACAGTGGAGGTGGAGGAGGAACCCTGGCGGCGCAGCCGTTAAGTGCTCGGCTGCCAACCAGAAGGTCAACGGTTCGAACCCACCAGCCGCTCCTCTAACCTATAGGGTCTTTATGAGTCGGAATCGACGGCAATGAGCTTTGGTTTTGGAGGTGGAGGGAGGGCGCCCTGGCGAACTTCCGAGCGGCGCGGAGAGCAGAAGCGCGGGCGCGTGGCGGGATCCACTCACCAGAGAAGGCGAAGAGACCGGTGGCGCAGAGGAGCGCGCCGCAGAGCGCGGCCAGCAGGCGAGGGCCTGGCATACTGCGGAGACAGGGGCGCGGGACCTAATAGCTCAGCTGATCGGACTGGCGAGCTCTGACTCCTTCTCCGGGTCTGGAATAAATCAAGCAGCGCCGCCCCGCCCACCCGACCACGCACTCCGCCCAGGCAGGCGGGAGGCGGACTCGAGGCGGGGCTCTGCGGCGGGGAAGGAAAGGGGTGAATGGAGCGGCCAAGGGCTCCCGCCTCCTGCCCGCCCACAGCCGGCATCGTGCGTCGCGCAGGCGGCCAGGCCCTGGTCCCGCGTCAAAGACTCCGGGTCCTCAGTCGACCGCGCAGGGAAGGGCTCAGGAGACAGGAAGTTTTCTTAGGAGTTTAAAAAACAACAACTTTTAGACTTAGAAAAAGATCCTAAACCTTGTTCATAATAAGAGAAATGGCAAATTAAGACTACAATGAGCACCATGATTCAGTAATCAGATTGGCAATAGCAAGTTATTAGTGCACTGTGAGTGCGAGGCTGTGGGGAAACAGGCTCAAGCTTGCCTTGTTGGAAGGAGTGAGAATTGCTTCAACTTCTCTAAAAGACTATTCGGTAATATCTATCAAAATGACAAATGCTAAGACCTCAAGACCTAGCAATTCCACTTAGAGGAATTCATTCTACGGAAGCTCACATGTGCAAAATGACATATATACACGGATATTCATAGCAGTATTGTTTGTAATGGTAAAAGACTAAAAAAAACAGGTGAGGCTTTACTGGCCTAACAGAGCCCTGGTGGCGCAGTGGTTAAGTGTTTGGCTGTTAACCTAAAGGTCAGCTGTTCGAACCCACCACCCGCTCCCTGGGAGAAAGATGTGCAACTCTGCTTCTGTAAGGATTTACAGCCTTGGAAACCCTATGGGGGAAATCTACTCTCCTCTGAGGTCGCTACGTGTCAGATTGACTCTAAAGCAACGGGTCTGTTTGTTTGCTTGCTTGCTTTTACCAGCCATAAGATCTCTGCAACTACTCACCTCTGTCCTGCTAGCTGGAAAGCAGCCATACACAATTGGTAAAAAAAAGTGAGCATAGTGGTTGTCCAAGGGCAAGGAAACCAGGGAGCTTTCCCAAATTCAAAATTTACTACAAAGCTACCGTAATCAAGATGATGTGGTACTGGAATAAGGATAGACATATAGATCAGTGGTATAGAATTGGGAGTCCAGAAGTAAACCCATACATCTATGACCAACTGATTTTCAACAAGGTAGCCAAGTCCATTCAATGAGGAAAGAATAGCCTCTTCAACAAACGGTGCTAGGACAACTGGACCTCCACACACAAAAGCATGAAGTTGGCCATGCACAAAAACTAACTCAGAATGGATCAAAGCCCTAAATGTAAGAGCTAAAACTATAAAACGTTTAGAAGAAAACATAAGTGTAAATCTTTGTGACCTGGGGTTAGGCAATAGTTTCCTAGATAAGACATCTAAAGCATGAGCAACAAAAGAAAAGGTAGGTAAATGGAACTTCATCAAAATTAGAAACTTTTGTGCTTCAAAGGACACTAGCAAAAAAGTGAAAAGAAAACCCACAGAATGGAAGAAAATATTTGCAAATCACATGTCTGATAAGAGTCCAATGTTCAGAGTATATAAAGAACTCTTACAAGTCAACCACAAAAAGACAACCCAATTGAAAAGTGGGCGACAGATTGGAATCGACATTTCTCCAAAGAAGATATACAAATGAACAATAAGCATATGAAAAAAACGCCCAACATCATTCGTCGTCAGGGAAATGAAAATTAAAACCACAATGAGACACCACTTCACATCCGCTAGAATGGCTATAATTAAAAAGACAATAACAAGTGTTGGTGAGGACGTGAAGAAATTGGATGACTTTGCTGGCGGGAATACAAAATGATGCACGGCTGTGGAAAACAATTTGGCAGTTCCTCACACAGTTAATTAAACAGAACTATCATATAACCAATAAGGAGCCCTGGAGGCACAATGGTTAACAGCTCAGCTGCTAAACAAAAGGTCAGTGGTTTGAGCCCACCAGCAGCTCCTGCACCTGTAAAGATTAACCAAAAAAAACCAAACCTGTTGCCACTGAGCCGATTCCAAATCACAGTGACCCTATAGGACAGAGTAGAACTGCCCCCATAGGGTTTCCAAGGAGCAGCTGGTGGATTCAAACTGCCAACCTTTTGTTTAACAGCCAAGCTCTTAACCACTGTGCCACCAGGGCTCCCTGTAAAGATTATAGCTTAGGAAAACCCTATGGGGCAGTTCTACTCTGTCCTATAGGGTCACTATGAGTCGAAATCAACTCAGCAGCACACAACAACCATATAACCAAGCAATTCCACTCCTAGGTATAGCCCCAAGAGAACTGAAAACATACATTCATGCAAACACATACATGAATGTTCATAGTAGCATTATTTATAATGGGCAAAAAGTGGGAACAAAACAAATGCCCATCAACTAATGAATGGATAAACTAATGAATGTACATCCTTACAATGAAATATTACTCAGCCATAAAAAGAAATGAAGTATTGATACGTGCTACATCATGGATGAACTTTGGAAACAAGACACAAGACAATATATTGTATGATTCCATTTATGTGAAATGTCAAGAACAGGTAAATCCATAGAGACAGAAAGTTGATCAGTGGTTGCCAGGAGCTGGAAGGAAGGAGAAATAGGGAACGACTCCTAGCAGATACGGGGTTTCTTTCTGGGGTGATGAAAATGTTCTGAAATTAGATAATAGTGATGGTTGCACACCTTGTGAATATATGAAAAATCACTGAATTATACACTTCAAAAGGGTGAATTTTATGGTATATGAATTTTATCTCAATTAAAAAAATATACCACACTTCAGAAATCCACCTCTGAAGCAGAAAACCTCTGCAGACAGAGAGGGCTGCAAGCATGGTGCCTTGACAGTTAACGCCACCTACTCCTACAGAATAAAAATTCCTGATTCCCTCACCAGCTTTCCTCCACCCACCTGGCACAAGTGCACAGTTATCCAGTTAAGAGACATTCGATCATTGATTTATTCAACAAGCATTTATTGAGCACTGACTGTGGGAGCATTGTGGCTGGAAACCCTAGCTGCACATTAGCATCACCTGGTCAGCATTTACTAAATACAGATGACTAGGCTTCATCCCAAAGCAATTAAATCAGAATCTCTGCGGTGGAGCCTGGGCATCAGTATTTTTTCAAAGCTCCCAAGATGTGAATAATGTGCAACAGTCTGAGAACCACTGGTTAGACTCATTGAGAAGAGACCTTGGTACCTGGAGCTGACAGAGGATTTTGATGGAGGAGAGAAAAGGTAAAGAGGGAGGAGATTTTCTTGTATGATCTGACCTTTGTAGGATTCAGTGGAACAGCATCTTCTTCTCCTGAACACTTTTCTTACATAGTACTAGAGCATCATAGCATTACAAGATTTGATTGACCTTTTCTAACAACAGTTATCACATCATGATACTGGTAGTCCATTAAAAACTTTCAGATTTTTGTTCATACAAATGGCAGGAAATCAGGTGCACCTTCGTTTTTTAGTCATGCCCCTACACAATCAGAGAACATACTTTGCCTCCAGAGACTTAACAAAAAATCAATTAAATCAACAAAACCCTAAGTCAGTGGGGTTGTGGGAAATAAATACATTTACACCTAATTGGTGGAACTACAAGTTGATTCAGTCTTTCTGGACTACAGTCTGACTGTTTGTAGCAAGACCTACAAAACTTGACCTGGTAATACTGCTTAGGGCGAATTCTCCAAAAGGAAATTAACCAAATAAAAAATCATGTGCAAAGATGCACATGGCACCACAATTTATGGTTTTGAAAAACGGAAAACAGTTCAAAATGCCCAGAAATGGAAGCGCTAAACTAACTTGTTATGACAGACCAGGGTAGAGCTATCAAGACTAGAAAGGATGTGGGAATCTGCATGTGAAAGAAGGTGAATTGGCACAGTAGAAAACCCCTCTCAAGCTTCCATGATTATCAATGGCACGGCTATGCAGAAATACCTCTATGTGAAAACTAAAATCAAAAGAGAACTGAATTATTTCACCAGCTTTCTCTGAGCTAGGCACTATTCCAGGTACTAAGGGAACAGCTCATTAAGTCCCTGTTCACATGATCTTGTATACGTAAGAAAAGAAGATAATTTCAGGTTGTGATAAAGTGCCACAAAGACAATACAACAGGATAATATGACATGCTAGAATGTGACGAAGGGCAGGGAGGCCAGTTTAGATAAGGGTGGCCAGCAAAGGCCTCTTTGAAAAGGTGACATTCACCCTGAGACCCTGAATAATAAGAAGCCAGCCTTACAAGGACTGAGAAAGCAAAAGCCCTGAGAAACAGGAGAGCCCAAAATAGACCCCCACCAATACTGTCAATTGATTTTTTTTGCAAAGGTACCGTGGCGATTCAGTGGAAAGGGGACAGTCTTTTCAACAGATGGTACTGGGACAATTGAATGCCTATATGAAAAAAAAAAGAAAGAAAATCTCACACCTTAAACAAAACTTAACTCAAAATGGAAATGCAATTCAATTCATAGTGCCCACTCTAACCATAAAAAAAAAAACAGACAAACTCAAATTGAGGGCAATTCTACAAAATACTAACCCAATATTCAAAACTGTCAAGTTCATTGAAAAATAAGGCAAGTCTAAAAAACTGTCACAGACCAGAGGACACTTAAGAGACATAATGACTAAATGTGATGTGTTATTCTGCATGCAATCCTGCAACAGAAGAAAGAAACTAGTGGAAAAGCTAAGAAATTGGAATAAAATGTGTTTTGTTAATAATAATGGACCAGTGTTGGTTTGTTAGTAGTGACAGATGTATCATGGTCATGGAAGATGTTGACAATGGGGAAACTAGGGGAAGGGTGTATGAAAAAAATCTTTGCAACTTTTCTGTAAGTGTATAACTACTCTAAAATATAAAATTTTAAAAAATAAATAAAAGTACTGAGAAAGACACAAG